ATTGTTTGTTTTCCGTGTGTCCCATGACTCTTCACGGTGTCTCCTTTTTTTTCATTAGCAAGCTGAGGCATGAGGGTTAATTACGTAGGTCACATACCTAATAAGTGATACAACTGATATTCGAGCCAGAGTCCATAGAGCAGGAAGAATTTGATTTGTCGAAAAGTGCTGAACAGGGCGCCTGGGTGGCTCCGTGGGTTAGGCCTCTGCCTTCAGCTCAGGTCATGATCTCACGGTCCTGGGATCGAGGCTCAGCGGGGAGCCTGCTTCTCCCTCTCTCTGCCTGCCTCTCTGCCTGCTTGTGATCTCTCTCTCTCTGTCAAATAAATAAATAAAATCTTCAAAAAAAAAAAAAGTTCTGAACAGAATGTTCATTTACTCAGTTAAGACAGGTGAACTGGAGTACGAAGGGTTAGGTGAGGGACTATAGTCAATAGGCTTCTCATATTTGTTACTGTATGAAAATAAATGCCCAGTATTCTGTGATTGTTTTTTTTCTTTTTAAGAGAAACTAAATATCAATATTTTATATGAATTTATCTCTATTTTAAAATGTCAGTCCTATATTCAAAAAAATTATTCCAATGTGTTTGCTAACATCATGATACAAGATACATCATTGAATAGAATTTTGCTTAAGGACTACTGGTTTGTGACCTCTAGGTTAAGTAATTTCTGAAGTCTGAACTTTAAAATAACATGCTTCATGATGATTCTTAATGAGGTATGACTCCGATTTGCTTTCCTTTCATGTCCTAAAGAAACTTTGCTGAATATTTATGTGAGCATTATTAACAACAGATCCAACTCTGCGTATTAATACATTTTTAGCTTTGCGGGGAGCAGATAGAGAAAGATGAAAAGGCTCCTTGCTCCTGACTGTGGTGGGAAAAGTGTTGCCTTCCTTGAACCTTCTATTCCAGCCGCTGTTTTCCCCCTGCCTTTCTATCAGAACAGGAGCAAAAAGTGGATCTGTTTACTTCCAATTCAAGCATCTTGACCAGTATTAAAATGAGAGACTCGGCAAGAAAGACAATAGAGCAGAACAGAAAATGGATGCATTGCAAGTAATAAGCACCAGAAGTATAATTTTTGTTTCAGCTGTATATGTATGTGGGTGTGGGTTTTAGATTACCTCAAAGAAAGTGTTTCTCACTGAACTGGCAGTTGGCAAATTATGAAAACACTTAAATTAGAAGGACTAAGTAGATCCTTGGTCATTCCTGCTCAATATAAAATGGTTTAAATTCTAAACTGGAAATTTGAAAGGATTTTTACCACAGGCTAATTACCTCCACATCTGGTCTTTTTTCCTTCAATCCCATGAAAACACTGACAACGTCTCTGTCTTGTGTAGATCAGTCCTTTGATCCCGTAATCACTTTTCAGGAGAGAATGGCGGTACTGAGGGGAAGACATTGCCAGTTGATGAGCCGCCTGGTCTTGGAGGCAAGGACAGAGATTTGATGGCTGAGGAGGGCAATAAGCCAGGCCCAATTCTATCCTCACTAAAATTCCTTGGGAATAAGAAGGGCGGGGAGAGGGGGAGACAATATTTGAGTAAGTAGAGCACCTAACAAAAGTTGAAGGGCATTGAAAAGGCACACAGGATGGTGGACGTGGGGATACTTTGGCATGAAGTGCTCTCCAGCCATAGTTTTGTCTCTTTGGAACTGAGTGAATGGGGAGAGAGAAGGTTCTGGAATAGATCCATGGAATGGAAAGCTGATTGTTTTTGTGAACCAGTAAGTGTTTTTGCTAGGGTGGGATTATTTGTTAGATACGCCATGAATTACCAAAAGTTAACACCTCCCACAGGTCATATTTGTTTAGTTATTTCTGTTTGCATTCTCAAGAAATTCTACTTTAAAATCATAAAAATTTAAGTAGAGTCTATATTACTCTTGAGATTGTGAACACCAGAGGGATACAGACTCCTGTGTCTTTTTTTTTTTTTTTAAGATTTTTATTTATTTATTTGGCAGAGAGAGATCACAAGTAGGCAGAGAGGGAGGCAGAGAGAGAGGAAGGGAATTAGGCTCCCTGCTGAGCAGAGAGCCCAATGCGGGGCTCGATCCCAGGACCCCAGGATCATGACCTGAGCCAAAGGCAGAGGCTTAACCCACTGAGCCACCCAGGTGCCCCCACTCCTGTATCTTAACAAGAATTTAATTGCAAGTGGAAAGTCAAAGTTTCTAGAAATACTATAAAATTTCAGCCCTCTAAAGAATATGAGGTTTGTCATTAGTCCCTGATGTGCAGGGGGTGAAATGCACGAAAAGCACTTAGTTCTTATGTTCTTATATTATCTACTGAATCATTTTTAAAGCACTTTCTTACATCCTTAATCTGCAGGAGATTTCTGGATATGTTATAAACTACTTTAATAACTCAAACTGTCATTACTGGTTATAGGTTAAGAAGCTATTTTTATACACTGAAGTGAAAACCGGACTTTTCATATTACTTCATATGTGGGCTTTTAAAAAAGTTATGTTAAAAGAAATAATTATTTTGGCCAGTCAATGTTTACCAATTCAGCTCTTTATGTACAGATATTTTAGAGAGCAAACTCCAAAGGACAGAGACCTTTTAAGGATAGATTTTTTTTTCTCATTAAAACTGGAAAGACTGGGGCGCCTGGGTGGCTCAGATGGTTAAGTGTCTGCCTTCGGCTCAGGTCATGATCTCTGGGTCCTGACGTCAAGCCCCACATCAGGCTTTCTGCTCAGTGGGGAGTCAGTTTCTCCCTCTCCCTTTGCCTCTTCCCACCACTCATGCTCTCTTTCTCTGTCAAATCAATAAATCAAATCTTAAAAAAAAACCGATAAGACTAATTTTATGAGTATTTATGAGGTTATATTTGTGGGTTCAGTATCCACGCACAGATACACATACTTGGAGGCTATTGTATTCTTCCCCTTAACAGGACTCTCTGGTCTTACTTGTTTTTATTATTTTTGCTTTAGATCATATATGTTTTAAAGATCTGGTGGATTTTTAGATTATTATTTGTAATTCAACTAACTCTCTATAAATACAGTGCTGTTCAACTGTAATCGGTTGGATTGCTGAAGGACCAGTGTATAGTAAGTAAGTATGCTACCAAGAAGGGATTATTAAAAATACCGACTCACTAGAATTACTAGAATGTAATTGGACCAGATCTTCAGTGTTACTAGGTGATGATCTGTGATTTCAGATCCATGAAAGCTGGATACGGTTTTAATGTTCTTAGGGGAAAACTATTAATTTCTGACTAATATAACATTTTAGAGAAAATAATCAGTAGAGATGTTGTAAACTTAGAATGAAGCTTAGGAAAGAAGCCAGCTTAAATAATTTGCCCCAACTACATCAGTGCCTCAAACAACGTTTTACACCTGGGGTTGCATTTATGTATTTACGTGCCTATCACCCCACCTAGGGCCTGAGTGCTTGGAGAAAGGGGATCGAAGCCTTAGATGATCTCAGTAGTCCTAGCCTACTCTAGGTTCCAGCACATAAGCTCATTTTTTCTCCAGATGAGGTCTGGGGAGTTTTGTTAACATACTTACTGATTTACTAAGTAAGAATCTCCAGAGGCAAACTCCAGTGGAAGGGGATAAATAAATGACATTGATAAAGCAAAGATAGAAACCGAGGCCTCCAGACCTTGTCCTCTACACACTTGGGGACGCGCTTGTTACCAAGTATGAACTTTTACTGAGCATCTACTAAGTGCCAGCTGCTCTGGATACAAAGATCAATGAAGCACGTTACCACTTAAAGCAGAAACTGTCGTTGAGAAAGAGTTAGTCTGAATCAGCCTTACCTACTTACTAACCATATAAACTTTAGCAGGTTACTTTATTCTCTAAGCCTGTTTCCTCTTTTGTAAAGTAGAAATAATACCTGTATCATAAAATTGATGTAAATGTTAAATAAGATACTGCCTGTAAAGTGCTTTGCAAAATGCTTGGAATATGGTAGGCTCTTATCTTTTGTTTTCTTTTCAATTAGTGAACTCACATTCTAAGCAGGGCCGAGTTTCTTAGAAAATAAGGAAAACTTGGAAATAAGGAAAATAAGAAAGAGAACATGTAAGAGATTTTGTTTTATTACTACTCCAAAACATGGTGGTATAATTTTTATTGACTCAAAATTTGGCAGGTTGGCAATTTGGATTGAGCTCAGTTGGGACAACTCATCTCTGTTCTAGATTGGGTCACTGGGGACACACGTGGGTTAATGGTCAGCTGGTAGTCATTGGTCTTACTCATATTTTGACAGGAGCAATGGTGGGGAGTGGGTCATGACCCATCATCTAGTAGCCTGGCCTATACTCAGACCCCTGGTAGTAACCATAGAGTTTTTAAGAGGGAGGGGGAGAGAGGGAGTTCCATGAGCAAGGATTTCTCTTGCATGCAAGCCTCTGTTTGTATCATGTTGACTAGTGTTTTCATTACCCAAAGAAAAGCACATACCCAAGCCCAGATTCATCGGGTTCCACCACTTGATGGGTGAAGGGTTATACGTACAGGGATGGAAAGAATTTGTGGCCATTTTTGTAATCTGCACAGAATGGATTTTATTGACTACTTATTCTGCATCAGGCTTTATCCTGGATAATTTACATGTTACTCATAAAATCCCTATAAAAATTTCCTGACATGGGTGGCGTTCCCATTTCAAAGGTGAGAAAACTAATTATCAGATGAATTAAGAGATGTTTACACATTAAACCCAGATTATTTGCTTCAAGTTATGGGGTGGCCTTTAGGTGCTATCTCTTGTTGCTTAAATGGTCAGATGGTTGGCTTTTGAGGCAGAAAGTGTGTGTTTTATTTAATGAAAATTTGGTTAAAATGGAGTTCCAAAAACTAGTTTTCCTTTATACCCATTGAACCATTGAGTCATATATTTAATTGATATGGAAAAAATTTTTAATCTTACTATCCTTCAAGACTTTCCAGAAGTGTATGAGGAGTGTTTTAGTGAGTTTTTGTTTGTTTTGGCAGAGCACCTGCATATCCTGGATCTGCCCGCATTTTGGACATGACTGAGTGTCTACAATGGGCCAGGTATCACTGGCAACGGCTGATGGGCAGTAGAAACAGAGACGACGATGAGAGGCCATACAGCTACTCCTCTCTGCTTGCCTGTGGGGGCAAGTCCTCTCAGACTCCCAAACTGGCAGGAAAGCACCGGGTTGTTGTTCCCCACCTCCGGCCCTTCAAGGATGAGTATGACAAGTTCTCTGGCACCTACGTGAATAACCGAATACGAACAACAAAGTACACACTTCTAAATTTTGTGCCAAGAAATTTATTTGAACAATTTCACAGGTACTTTTATTTATTTATTTTTTTGAAAAAAACTTAGCATGTTCTTTGTTATTCTAGTTAACATACGATTTTTCATTTCTATAACATTATATGCTACCTAAACATAGACTTGGGACATTTTCTTTGACGATGCTAATAGAGTTTGTTGTGAAATGATGAGTCCTTACGTTCACATGGCACTTTACAATTGGTGAGATGCTTTGTCTTGACCAGAGAAGATAACTGCTGTTTTCCTATTATAGATTAAGAACTGAAGTTTGTTACTGTGGTTTACCCAATGTCATGCTAGTGATAAGGAGCAGACCAGGATCCATAGCCTTGACTTTTTTCACTCTTGCTTCCATGTTCTTTCCATTAGACCATTTGAGCTTTTCCTTACTTGATGGTATGGGGAAATAGAGCTCTTCACCAGGTGAAGCGATGACATAATTCCATTTAATATGTATTTATTGACACTCTCCTATGAGATCCTAGGCATCGAAAGAAATGCACATCTTAATGGTGCGCCTTTCCTAATGGAGTTTACTGTTTAGCAAGGGCAACAAGGTGTGTATACAATGAGAAGACACAGTGCACGTGATGAATGTTATAAACTGCTCCCAAGTAGGTTGGAAGTCACAGAAGAGAAATAGTGGAGCAAGAGAAGAGGTAATGGCACTGAACATAATTATGGTGAGCAGGTCATATTTTTAAGGCAGAGGTGTCAGCAAAGCACATTTCAGATGGAGGAAGGAGTAGGATAAGTAAAAGCAGAAAGGCAATAGCATACGTTGTTTGAGGTCTGGAGGCAGAGCCCTCTGCCCGGCATAATTAGAAACAAAGCAAAGGCAGAGAGAACTTTCAAGGAGATGCTGTATGTACCCAGGTGAGTGGTAAGACCTGAGCTTAGAAAAATATGGAAATGAAAAAAGGGTTATCTATTACAGCTATAATGGATTAGATGCAGGCAAGTAAGGAAGAAGATGGTATGAACATATTGACCTGAGAATGACCAGGAGGATTAGCAGAAAAGGTAAAGACAGGAATAAAGAGAGACTTGGCTAGATAATTTTGTTTTGAGATACTCATGTGAATATACAGATTTTCAATATTCACTATTCATTCTGCATATCTTCATTCTCACTATTCACTGTAAAATAGGTTCCACATACATTAATGGAATGATGGGTATGTTTAAAATATAGATATGAGTTTCCTGCATTAATGGCCTGACATGCTATGCATGATTCTGCCTTTTATGAAGTTTGCAATCTCGTGCAGTTCATGGAATCAGAATCTGAAACTTGAACAGAATTCAGGGTCAGTGCTGTTGGTTTAGGTACAACCCACATGGTAATAAATTGAGGCCAAAAAAGTAGCAAAAAGGGTTAAGAAAGAAATTTTCAGAATAGAAGGAGCTGGGGGCGCCTGGGTGGCTCTGTAGGTTGGGGAACTGCCTTCAGCTCAGGTCATGATCCCAGAGTCCTGGGATCGAGTCCCACATCTGGCTCTCTGCTCGCCAGAGAGTCTGTTTCTCCCACTGACCTCTCTCCTCTCATACTCTCTCTCTCTCATTCTCTCTCTCTCGAATAAATAAAATATTTAAAAAAAAAAAAAAAGAATAGAAGGAGCTGGAGGTGAGGAAGGAGAAATGGGGGTAAATTAATTTTGAGAAGTTTAATGGTTAATGTGGAAAATATGTAATAAAAACTCAAGGAGCTATGCAGGATTGAGATTATATTTCTTTGAAGGAAATGGGCTACTTGGATTTACCTTAGGGGCCAATGGAGGAGTATTTCAATATATAAAGTAAAAGAGTGGAATAAATTCCTGAAGGAGTTCATCTCATAAAAGCTGAAATAGAAGGGTTGGTCCCAAGTGGGAAAAAACCTCCCAGGTTTCTCTGTTTATCCTGAGGCTTGTTTGAATCTAGTGTTTGGACATGCAAATTAGCTTCTGAAGGCTAGAGAGTTGGGGTTTTGAAAAATTTATCTCTACAGTGTGTTCACATTGAATTTCCTCTAAGTTTTTTGAACTTTTAAAAAGAAAATAGTGTTTCCTGTGATGCTTCTCGTGATGTTTTACACGACTCGAGACTGTCATACTCGTATTTACTATTATGTATTTAATAAAGACGACCTCACATTTATTATAGTAAAGCCATGAGCTGGATGTCTACTGGAGGTACAAGTTGTTCAGATGTGTTAGGTTTAGCTAGTTCTCTGCTCCGTAGCATCAAAAATCGACAAATGGAAATGTAGGAAAATACCCTAAGATATTTCTGCCCCTTTTGCTTTAGGCTTTGCTGTGATTCATTAACCCTTCTCGTCTGTGTTTGGGTTGCAGGGCTGCCAATTTATATTTCCTGTTTCTCGCTGTCTTGAACTGGGTGCCTTTGGTAGAAGCCTTCCAAAAGGAAATCACGATGCTGCCTCTGGTGGTGGTCCTGACAATTATTGCAATTAAAGATGGTTTGGAAGATTACCGAAAATACAAAATTGACAAACAGATCAACAATTTAGTAACTAAAGTTTACAGTAGGTAAGTGTACTGGGAGCTGGGCTGGGGAGTACACCTGTGTCCTTTAGAAACATGCAGAAGGCTGCTTTCTTCCCCCTTATATGCGATCAGGATCCTTTTTGGGGATGGTGATGGTGGTGATGTTTACAACTAGTATTTATTAAGGATCTGCAGTGAATTTAATTCAGGGGTCCTAGTAGAACCAAAATGTACAGACGGTCCTGATTAATGATGGTCTGATTTAGGATTCTTTGACTTTACGGTGTTTCAAAGGCAGTATGCATTCAATGGAAACCTTACTTCAGAATTTGAATTTTGACCTTTTCCTGGGCTAGCGGTATGGTAAGATATTCTCATGATGCTGGGTGGCAGCAGGGAACCTCATTCCCTGTCAGCCCGGTGATCATGAGGGTAAACAATGAATCATTTTGTACCCATAGAACCACTCTGGGTTTTTTGTTTGTTTGTTTGTTTGTTTGTTTTTATTTCAGTACAGTAGTCAATAAATTACATGAGATAGTCAACACTTTATGATAAAAACAGGATTTGTGTTGGATGATTTTACCCAACTGTAGGCTTCTGTAAGCATTCTGAGCATGTTTAAGGTGGGGGGGCGCCTAAGCTATGATGTTCGCTAGGTTAGGTGTATTACGTGTGTTTTCCACGTGTGTATTCAACTTGCAATGAGATTATTGGGATGTAACCCTTTTATAAGTCAGGAAAGATCTCTGTTAGCCATTGTCAGTCCAGGAGCTGATAAAGCAAAAGCATCTGTAATTTACATATAAGTGGATCTGAAAGAATTAAACTTCCTAAGAAGGAAAGCAAGCAGGTAGTTTTTAATCCTGGATGTTAAAATTCGGGATTAAGAAGAGGATGGGGTATGAAAAATATGAATGGATATGTAAAACAAGATAGAATATGAAGAAAAACATAAGATCTATCAGTGGAGGAAAAGGATACTGAAAAATGGGGAAGAGTGTTCTTTTTTGTACATAAAATTAGCAGCTTATAATAAAACCCTTCCCATTGCAGCAGCAGGAAACATTCATAATAGGAGGTCTTTTCTGAAGCATATTTGCTTATCACGGAGACTTGTATCTCCAGTATTTATTAAACAGAAAGACTGTGTAGGTAAGAATAGTCTATAGAGGTGAGTTTTGAACTGTGTCATATATTGTAAATCTACATTTACAAGTTATACATACGACACTAGTATTCAGAGACGACTATCACACTGCTGTATTCTTCCTCTAAGTTCTGTGCGCATTGTGTTTATTTTACAAAGTTTAGATTGTACTCCATATATTTTTATTCTGATTGTTTTAGCCTAATATTGCACCACAAACATTTCCCATGTCTTTATGGAAATGAAATTTTCATTTTTCATACTTTTATGAAAACGAATTACAAAGTTTGTCATTTTTTTTCCCAAGATTTATTTATTTATATGATAGGGAGAGACACAGTGAGAGAGGGAACACAAGGAGGGGGCGATGGGAGAGGGAAAAGCAGGCTTCCCGCTGAGCAGGAAGCCCAGTTCGGGGCTCGATCCTAGGACCCCAGGATGATGACCTGAACCGAAAGCAAACGGTTAACGACTGAGCCACCCAGGCGTCCCCAAAGTTTGTGATATTAATTGGAGTCCCCATTCATGAGAAATGTATCTGCTTTTTAGAAAGTCATCATTAGGACAGTTGTGTGAAATTCTGAATCTAAGATGTTATTTGCTTTACAAACAAGTTTATGATGTCACCCCCCCACCCCGCCCGTATTGGGGGTAGGCAGGCTTGTGCAGTGTTCTGAGGATACTGAGTGTACTGACTTGGCGTGAGCAGGCAAGCAGCTATAGGAGCAGTAATGAGAAATGAAGAGAGAGGGAGTTTGAGGCCTCCTGAGGGACTTCCAACACCAGGCCATTCCTTGAACAGTGTATTAATCAGGGTTGTCCAGAGAAATAGAACCAACAGGAATGAGATTTATAATCAGGAATCAGCTCACATGATAATGGAGGCTAAGAAGCCCCAGTGTTCGCAAGCTGAAGGCTCGGGAAGGCCAGCAGTGTGGTGTGAAAGCCCCAGAGCCGTAGAGCTGATGGTCTAGATTCCAGTCCCGGTCTGAAGGCCGGATTGCTGGGGATGCTGAGGTGAGGAGATCAGTGTCCTAGCTCAAGCATCAGGAAGGCAGAGAGTAAATTCAGCTTTTCTCTGCCTTTTCGTTCTCAAGGGATTGGATGATACCCACCCACACCGGGGAAGGCCCTGTGCTTTACTCAGTTCAATTTGAGGCTAATTTCTCCTAGAAACTCTCTCCCAGACACACCCAGAAGTAATGTTTAACCAGTGTCTGGGCATCCCTAGTCAAGTGGACCCTTAAAATTAACCATCACAGATTTTTTTCCTTTAGTAGTAGAGAATCCGCAGTGTCTCCCGGATCCGACCGGGACCCCCAAATGTGGAGTGTGGTGTGGGCGGTGAAAGAACTCACCTGAGGTAGAACAAAGGAGACTGCAAACTTATTGAATACACCACGGGGAGCGGCGGGCTGGACAGCAGAGGAGACTGTCTGCCACAAGGCAGCAGCGGTGGGGGTTGTTTTTAAAGGGGGAAGGTGAGGAGGTCGGGGGACATATGCAGTTTCTCCCTTTTTTGGTAATTAGACCTGGTTTTAAGTAGCTCATTGTTCAGTTAAGGCTTATGGATATTTTGAGGTGGGTTGCCTGTTGGGCCTGTCTGTATTCAGCCTGGGGGTTACCGTGGGCCATTTTGCCGGGATCAAGTTTCCCTATCGCTCAAGCCTGTTCCTTAAAAGCAGCCCTCTACAGAATCCATCTTTTTTTTTTTTTTTTTACTTTTTAATTTAAATTCAGTCAGTTAACACACAGTGCAATACTAATTTCCGTTGTGCAGTAGTGATTTAACACTTCCGTACATCACCCAGTGCTCATCACAAGTGCCCTCCTTAATTCCTAACACCGATTTCCCCCATCCCTCACCCACCTCCCTTCTGGTAACCATCAGGGTACAGGCTCTTCTCTGTAGTTAAGAGTCTGTTTCTTGGTTTGGGTGTGTATCTGTCTCTCTCTCTCTCTCCACACCCTCTCCCCCACCCTTTGCTCCTTTCCATCTTTTGAGCAGAGAAGGAATGTGGTGAAAGCTGTGCTTTAAGAATATTGGTCTGCTCGAGTCTTGGGAGTAGCCTCTACAAATGGGGTAGATCTACCTCTGCTAATCAGTCCAGGGCATTACTGGGAGTAGATGCAAGGGACAGGAGGGGGTTCGTAGAAGAGATGCTGTGAAGAAGAACCCAATTAAATTTGGTGAACTTTCTTGACTTTTGCGCCTTGGAAAATAAAAGTACCACTGATAGAAATAGGGAGCATTAAATTCACCTCAGGCAGGATGAATTGGAAATGAGAGCGAGACAGGCATCCAGTGGAAATGCCTCACAGGCAAATAGGAACACGCTACGGGAGTTCTAGTTGGATGGAAAGGCTATAGTAAGAAATTTTGAAGTCATCAGTGTGGTTAGAGGTGATTTTGAAGTGAGGAGTTTGACTTAAATCCCCAAGGGAGAAAGTGGGAAGAGCTAGAAGCCAGAGCTTTGAACCCAGAGGATGGCAAACACCACCTTCAGCCTCTGAGTTGACTTGACAGGTTCCCTTAGACAGATGCTGCCCCTCTTCTGACATCTCGAGAGTATTTGATACATTTCTTGGATCGACTTTAGTGTTCTTGTGTAAACTCTACATTCTTAAGATTGTAATTCTAAATTGGTCAGACTAGAGATTTTCTTCTATTCTAGTTACCAAGTCTGAACAAAAGACATTTAGGTTCAAAAGTCTAGTTTTCTAATAACGAGTATATCTTGGGTGCCTGGGTGGCTCAGTGGGTTAGGGCCTCTGCCTTCGGCTCAGGTCATGATCCCGGGGTCCTGGGATCGAGCCCCACATTGGGTTCTCTGCTCAGCGGGGAGCCTGCTTCCCTTCTTCTCTGTCTGTCTCTCTGCCTACTTGAGATCTCTGTCTGTCGAATAAATGAATAAAATCTTTTAAAAAAAAGTATATCTTGAACAAATTTAAGGCTCTTTTGACTGACCAAGAGTTCTACTAGATGATGAAATTTTTGTTTTATTTACTTTAGGGAGAAAAGTAACTCAGAGTCTTATCCTGATAGTAGAATTGTCTTCCATTTTATGTGAGCCACAGAGGAAATGGTTGGGGCACGCTGCTCTCTGTAAAGAGATACTTAAGCTGAAACCTGAAGGATTCTGAATTCTGTTCATTACTAGAATTCTTCAGTGACTTCGTCAATATCCATTTTAAAGATCTAGAAACAAAACTAACTTTTTTTTTCTCCTTTATAAGATGATGGGACTCAGACAAGGAAAAATTGGGTCTATTTTATTTTCTGATACTCATGTCTGATCTAAAGCTAACCAGAAAAACTGATGTATTATGTAGAAAACTAAAAATAATAGGAAAAGCTCATGGTTTTCGTTTTAAAGTCATGAGCATTTTACTAAAACACTGCTATGAATCATTTGATGACATTTATGTCTTCATCATATGCCAGAGATAGAGAGGTGTGATTGATAGTCTCACCCCCCAAAATAGCTGTAGGAAATAGTATTTTAAAGTCCAGATTTTGACCAATTTGAAAATTACCCAGCAATACCAAATTGAGCCAATGGGAAGAATGCTTCTTATATGTATTTTTAAATACAGGTTCTTGTCTATAAATGATTATAGACCTTTATTGCTAGTTTAAAGTTGGTCATGTGTGTTTGTTTGCTTTTCTAAGTTCTAAATAAGTTCTAATCCTGATTTTCTCAGGCAGTAGCTATATTTAGCCTTGGGCAAATTTCACAAACCCCACTTCCCTTCATTATGAATATAATAGTAATAAAACAGTAAGTAATAGAATCTAGCCCTTTCTAAGTGCTAAGTGAAAGGTTAGTAATAACTGTTAGCTGGAGTTTGCCACATTATCAAGTTATTTAATCAATATTTGAGAACTCTT